TGATGTGAACAAGAAGCTAATTGTTCAGAGATCTGAACTTATTGTTTCGGGAAAAAAAAGTTTCATTCGGGAATTGAGCCAAAGCAATTGAGAAAAACTGTAACATAAAACTCTCATTAAAAGTGCATCCCCCTTAAAACCGCCAACATTCTCAGCTGTGGCCCATTTTGTCAAGTCACACATCAAAGACTTTGTTCAAACTGTGCGTAAATCCGATTTGTTTTTCAAATCCAGTCTTTAGCAGTCTTTTCTCAACAGTCTTTTCTGCACTGTCATTTTGTAAGTGATGAAATCTGATCTCATATAATATATATATATATATATATATATATATATATATATATATATACATATGTGTGTGTGTGTGTCTGCAACTCGTTCAAACAACACACAGGGCAAGCCGAAATGTTCTGAAGTGTGGTTACATTTCTAGGGCCATATGGTTTCTGCGAAAACGTGGACGGGATCGTGGAGTCCATTCATAAAAACGTCATTTACTCTATAGCGTGGAATGCCACGGAATTCGTCATTTTTGGACGCATAAATCAAAAGTAGCCACTGCCACTTAATTCGAATCGCGATATGTACTAGTGTCTGTGAATATTAAAATGCAAAAAGATGGTTTAATATGAATCCTGCATCTTCCGCTTGCCTCTGTATGTATGAATGGCGGAAACGCGGTTTTGATTATTACACAAATACTGAAGCACGCGTGACGCTCGCGGCGATTTTCAGCCTCTGCGTCTCACTATATGACGGCATGAACACAAAAACATAATCTCCAGAGCTGCTGTGAGAGTCACTTCGTGATAATTTTACCGTTTCATTTGAGAAAACTAGCATCATCATACTGTATATACACACAGAAACTTCATGGCAACCTGTCAAAATTGTATTACATTTGTACAGTATAATGTACATCTTTAAATTAATCAAGTCCAATCAGTATAATCAAACACAGCTGGACTCAAATGAAGGTGTAGAACCATCTCAAGGATGATCAGAAGAAATGGACAGCACCTGAGTTAAATATATGAGTGTCACAGCAAAGGGTCTGAATACTTAGGACCATGTGATATTTCAGTTTTTATTTTTTAATAAATCTGCAAAAATGTCAACAATTCTGTGTTTTTCTGTCAATATGGGGTGCTGTGTGTACATTAATGAGGAAAAAAAATTAACTTAAATGATTTTAGCAAATGGCTGCAATATAACAAAGAGTGAAAAATTGAAGGGGGTCTGAATACTTTCCGTACCCACTGTATATATAATATATGAATATAGAATATAGAATTGGAAATGTGTTTTTTTTCCCCCTTGCTGTTCAGACTACAAGCAAAAGATTAAGATCTAAACAACATTTCCTCTGTGGATTCATGAATGCTGTCAATAGTGGTGGCTTTATATTTGCACATTTGGTCCCTAGTGCTCTAAATTTCTAGTACACCTCGTTTTTCCCACCTAGAGTGAGATGAGGACAGAAAATGAGCTGGGAATGGAGAGAAAGAGTGATGGTGAGTAAGTGACACAGGGGTTTAATATTTCTATGCCAATTTAGGAGTACCACCACAGGGACATTTTTTGTTCACACTGATAATGAAGCATGCTGAGACTCCTATCAGAGATTGATGTAACCTCCCTGATGTGTACAGCACAGCCCCAGACATGTTATTTCCAACTTCTACGCTGTAGAGAACAAGAAATGTTGGAGTAAAATATCATGTGGGCTCATGAGAGCCTCCAGCCGCCTGCAGTCACTGCCGCAGAATAAGAATGTTCATGTTAATATAAGTTATCATAAATAACCCATATGGTATACAGGGATGATGACGTGTGTAGATTATTTTTGAATAACAAATAAACTCGGTTTCTACTTCATTCATTCTTTGAATTTGTTGGAAGTATTTTAGGTTATTTAATACACAGCTTTAAATGTACAAGGCTGTGCATTGCTGAATAAAAATCTTACTAACCCCAAACATCTGCATGGTAGAATATATCTTTTTTTTTTTTTTTTTTTTTTTAAACCTCTGTTTCTCTTTAGAAGTTAGAATCAGCCATTGCCACTTCAGGGTTCGTGAGATGCCTCAGAGAAATGCAAAACTCTTGCTACCTACCGCCTGTGGAGCAAAGGGTCAGTTTTTTGGAAACAGTATTTTTGAACACCACAAACAGCACTTTTTGGTCAGTTTCACCTCTGTTTTAATGAATGATACAACGGCTAATTTACAACGGCTAATTTCCAAGGTGTCTGAAGTAGCAGGAAATGTTCCCACTGAGCATTTGTTTGCAAACTGTATTTTCAGTCTATAGGGCTCTTTTGTTGGCTTAATGGTCACTCTATGTTGCATTAGGGCTTTTTTCCATCTGCTTTGGACTTTTATGCCTTTTCTTTGAAAATGTGGAGAAGTATACCATGAAAAGGTTCATTTACACTTTCTAAGACAGCACAGTAGCAACATAAACAGTTGTGTGCTACCAATAGTAAAAATCTATGAATTGTATGTATTTCTACTGTAAATTTTCAAAGCATTACCAGTGTCAATTTACAATGAATATTTCAAAAATGCACATTGATTATTCCATTTCCTATCCCAGCATATTGACAGGGAGCTCTCGGAAAAGTCCAGAGCTGGGATTCTCCCAGTGGGAGTGATGCTGTACTATTCAGATTACTCATAGTAGGGAAGCCATCCATCGCTCCCTATCCATCTGTCTGTCTTTCTCTCTCTTTGTTTCCAGTCTGTTCTATATTTGCTCTGGGCCATGCGGGCTCTCTGTTTTCCCTCATGCTGTATCCCATCCATCATTAATTAAAGAAAGAGAGAACATCACTGTGTCCCGACAGACACAATTAATAGGGAAATGGCAGCAGTTTTTCTTTTTGACGTGCTGTGGATTCTTTGACACCATGGTTAACATAACTAAAGCAATCACCTTTTTCTCTGTCTGTCGTACTTACTCCAAAACATAGAGCTTTTCTTACACTTTCCTGCTCTTTGTGTGGTGTTACTACCATTGGATGACTGATACATCTCTTTAAAATCTCTCTCTTTTTCTTCACTTGTTACAGAGGCTACGAGGACCCCATTGAGGCTGAATTAATTGATGAAAGACACCCCTACATCCATGGCATGTACCCAGCACCTCTTGCCCAACCCGAGAGGGGCAGCTTGGCCAGTCTAGATCGCATGGGTGGCCGTCGCTCCCCCTCGATTGACAGCATCCGCAAAGACCCGCGGTGGAGGGACCCCGACCTGCCTGAGGTCATCGCCATGCTAGGCCACCCCATCGATCCGGTCAAATCCAATGCAGCTGCCTACCTACAGCATCTCTGCTATGAAAATGACAAGATAAAGAAGGATGTCAGGCAGCTGAAGGGGATCCCAGTGCTGGTGGGCTTGCTGGACCACCCTAAAGCTGAAGTCCATCGCAAGGCCTGCGGAGCTTTGAGAAACATCTCCTACGGCAAGGACCACGATAACAAAGTGGCCATCAAGAGCTGTGATGGGATTCCTGCTCTCATCCGTCTGCTGAGGAAAACCAATGACATGGAAGTTCGGGAACTTATCACAGGTATGATATGATATTTATATCCATCCGCTCTGTTCCATACTGGAATTTAGCACTGTAATCATGAAAACAAAGGATAATTTGGTTCAAAGGATATTTTATTTTTCTTTAATTAATGCATATTAAACTGACTGTAAAGACATTTATAATTATGTAATATTTATGATCATGTGACACTGAAGCCAGTAGTGACTGCAGAAAATTCTACTTTGCCATCACAGGAATAAATTACATTTTAAAATAGTTCTTTTTAATGTAATATTTCACAATATTACTATATTTTAGCTTTTTTTTTTTATCTAACACACCTCAAAATTTTGAACAGTAGTGTATAAATAGTCAGTTTTTGGGAACAAGGGTTAACATTTTAAGAATGCTAATCTAAAATTTGAGGCTGACATGTTTATGGTGGTTACGGCAACTGGTCGAAATTAAATTTCAGATTCATCAGGCTTTCTTCTGTGTGACCAGTATGATTATTTTCAGTCCAATGACAAAAATAACCTTCCATCTTTTTTGCCTTATCCGTCCTAAATCTTCTATGATTCATTCATTTGTATTTTTCTCATTTCATCTAGTCAAGCTTGGCAAGCATCCTACTAATACTAGCCATAGGCCTCTCTCCATGTTTTGTACGTTTACATACTAGATGAGTCCGGACTTATGTTGACTGAATCCAGGTCAGTCTTTTAGCGGGACTACTGAGCAGGGTCTTGACCTGCTGGGCTTTATGTGTCTCCTCCTGGGACCTTAATCCTTCGGCCTAGTCTCCACGACCTGACACACATTTACTAGAATGTGGAGAATGCAAAAGAGGTCCGGATTCAGACCGGACACTCAACGCACAAAGACCAAAGACACATGTTTGCATGCATTCACAAGACATTTTATTCCTGGAACATGGGATTTGTGTCACTGACAGAAAATGAGGGATTTACAAAATCTTAAGAAAATAATAATAATCATAAACATTTGTGTATGAAATAATTATAAACGCTCCCATCTTGGGGTCAGTAAGATTTTTCATGATTATGCTCAGCAGGGCTGCATTTGTATGATTATATTGTGCAATATACCATTTAAAATAACTGTTTTCTATTTTTAAATATTTTTACAAATTCGGAAATTACTTATTAATATCAATGTTGAAAACAGCTGTGCTGCTTAATATTTTTGGGGAAACCATGAAACATTTTTGTAGGTTTCTTTGATGAGGAAAGTTAAAAAGTTTTTTTATTTTATTTAAACAACTTTTATTTGAAATAGGTTTTTTTTGTTTCTTTAATGTCACTTTGATCAGATTAATGCATCCTTGCTGAACTAAAGTATTCATTTCTTTACAAAATTCTTACTGACACCAAACTTTTGAATAGTAGTGTATATGTTTAAACGATACTGAGTGCAGATCTTTCATCTACTAGGGTTTGATGAAGCTACTGAAAGAGATTTTTTTCTGGTAATGACATTGACTGATGGTTCTCCAGACCAGGCATTCAGTTTTTTCACAGATCATGAAAAAAAGTTTCTGGTGTGTGAAATACCTGAGTGAATCCTGGAGAGTGAAACAGTGACGTATAACTGCTCTGCAGCCTGCCTCAGTGATTAACTTTACAGCACACTGTTGCTTTCAGTTTCAGTTAAAAATAGCTATTTTCTACAGGATGGAGGGAATAAAGTGTGTCAGTTCCAAACCGAGCCCTGGACAGCCTTATGGTTTATCTGCAAGGCCCCTATAAAAACACTGCCCTTACAATAGTCTTTCAGCAGCCTGGAAAACTGGGAATGTTTTTTCTACAATTAAAAATAATTGCAGGGTTTTAAAAATAGGTTCACCGTGTGCTCTTGAACACCATGGTTGGTACTCGTCAGCAGCACTTATTTGCACCTCAACCAAGAAACTTATTGTGTGGGTATTGCTAGTACTTTTTTCTTTCTGTTCACTTTTTTTGTTCTACTTCAGAAGTATTTGCTTAGAATTTTTCATTACCTTTTCCACTTTTCAGCATTATTTTTAATTAAACTGTCTGGTTTAATTTGTTGACCCTGTGTCAAATGTTCTTCACGCGCTGTGAATATTTAGCAGTTCATATTAATATATTTAAATTAAGGTGGTCAAGACTGATACAACTTCAAAGCATCATAATTTCCTTTTCAGAGCTCTCCAGCTTAAATGTTAAAAGTCTTTTGAACTACAGTCATTTATTATTTAATTACAACCAACCAGCTACAGCCGTGTGTTTATACCACTAGCCATGAACCTCTGCTTCCGTGTTTGCGTTCTGTATCTTTGTATCTGCATCAGCTCCCCATCTCGCCCTCATTCTCGCTTTCTCTTTATTTTATGTCTGCACGCGCTGTGAATATTTAGCAGTTCATATTAATATATTTAAATTAAGGTGGTCAAGACTGATACAACTTCAAAGCATCATAATTTCCTTTTCAGAGCTCTCCAGCTTAAATGTTAAAAGTCTTTTGAACTACAGTCATTTATTATTTAATTACAACCAACCAGCTACAGCAGTGTGTTTATACCACTAGCCATGAACCTCTGCTTCCATGTTTGCGTTCTGTATCTTTGTATCTGCATCAGCTCCCCATCTCGCCCTAATTCTCGCTTTCTCTTTATTTTATGTCTGATCAAGCAAGTTTTTAGAAGAAACAGATTTTAGGCATACTTCCTATTTCCATAATCCGCACTATATGACTCTCCGTGTTTTTGGCACATTCCAGATATTGCACATTTGGAACTCTTTTTCACTGGCGGAGCAAAAAAGACAAAGTAACTGACACTATTTTATCAAATTACATTACATAGAGGCATTTAGAAATGTAATTACTAAATGTCAGTGTTTGACTTTGTTTCCCTTTGGACTATATAAACCATTTTGGTACTGTGTTGAATCTCACAGTCTGAGTGATTCCTTGTTCTTGTGTGGATTACTGTTTGCGTATTTATGCAGAGGTCTCCTCAAATCACCTGATGAAATATGAAAAAACAAACAAATGTAATGACATTAGAAAAAGGACACGAAACATAGCTAACAAAATGACATTTGTTCAGAAATTCCAAAAGTCCAGAGTACGGTGGCATTTCTGAGATGATTACCTCATTTACCGTTCTTTCCTGTTTCTTTCTCTCTGACTCAGCTGTCCAATCAGTGTATGATGAATGGCAGGGGGCAGGATGGGACTGTAATAGCCCTAAGTGAATGGCCTGTTAGAACAGCATGTCTGCTGCTCCCAGGAAATTGAATTAGCTGGGAGGCTCCAATGACAAGCAGGAAGGAGTAAACTCAATCAGGCTGCACCTCTTGCAAGGTTCAGCTTCCCTCGTGTGGGTTTCATTGGCTCCTTCTGTATTAGGTTTGTGGGATTTCCAGGAACCTGCAAAAGATGCCAGGGGAACTGAGCAGTTACAACACTAGAGCTCTCTGAAATAACACTGTAATCTCATGGTATAGTGTGTGTTTTGTACAATTAATATATTAATATTTCATATAAACATTTAGATAACCTTTATATTAGCTCAACTGGTAATAGATCAGTGTAAAAGCAGCTATTACTATTTAGTCTTATTTGACCAAAAATGCAGTAAAACAGTAATAGTGTGAACTATTATACATTCAAAACGTTTTTAAATTTAATTTATTGCTGTTCAGTGTCACATGATCATATATATATATATATATATATATATATATATATATATATATATACACACATACACACACACACACACACACACACACACACACACACACACAAACACAGACACAGAGAGAGAGAAAGTTGTAATCAACAGTTATAATAGCCTTTGACTGTGTCAACCTGCTCAAGTTTTCTGCCTCCTATTAAAGCCAATGAAGTGAAGTTAATCAGCATGTGCTATGTATAGACCTCTACATCTCCTCTGACTACAAGCCCATCTGACACAATAACACATGCACGAGTGCATGAGCTGGCCGGTAATGATCCACGTGCCTTAATGTTCCACTTTACCAAATAGACATTCCTACATTCGGCAAGGGCCATGTGTACGGCGTCTGTTATCAGGACTTTAACCAGGGTCTAATGGCCATTCAGTGCCTAAGAGGTGATGGCGATGGAGCCTCCTCGCAGATGGAAGTACAAAATGGTTATTATCCGAGGGTAAATAGATTTATTTTGGTGGTTAAAAGAACCCGAGCCCACTTTACACAAAGCTACGACATGTTTATAGACCTCTTGTCTCCTGTTGGAGTTTTTGTGAGCAGAAATGAATCTGGAAGTAATTGCTGAGCGAGAAGAACATGGAGTGATGATGTGTATGAAGGGCAGAAAAAAACAATTCCGAGTTGTATAAGTATGTACATTTGTTTGAATTTGTAGTCAACTATGCTATTTCTGTTTTTAGCGAGAATGACCTGTGGTCCTAGTTTTTACTAACCCAAGAAGATGGCTGTTTATTTATTCACTGTACATTTCCAAGGGTAGCAGTAGCTGTATGGGGCTTGCCAAGTTAATAAAACAAAGGCCAGTCTTAACTGTGTAGGCGTATATACGTCTGCTGGCTTATAGAACAAGCTTCTCCGTTTTATTGTCTAGAAAATAACAGCCTGGCCCCTTTACGTTCTGTTTACTCGGAGCAATTTTTCTCGAACTGTGCTTTTCCTTTCCTTTTTTCCTGTCCAATCCTTCTTAGTCGTGGTCTGTAATGGAAGTTCCTGTCTGAAAACTCAGAATCAATGTTTTTGTAATGCGTGGTGTGTCAACAGATCTAACAGCACTGCCACTTTTTTTGTAGCTCTCGTGTGATTGTGATTTTAAGAAGTGTAACAGGTCCTTTTTTCTTTTCCTGTTTCTTTTCTCTCTCTGTCTTATTCCACCTGTTAGGAACACTTTGGAACTTGTCGTCCTATGAGCCACTGAAGATGGTGATAATTAACCACGGGCTTCAAACGATGACTAATGAGGTCATTATCCCTCATTCGGGCTGGGAACTGGAGCCGAATGAGGACTCAAAGCCACGAGATGCAGAGTGGACCACCGTCTTCAAGAACACATCAGGATGTCTAAGGTACACTGGTCTGATTGACAGCATCCTCCACATCCTTGTCAGCTGACCTAGTCTTAATGACAATGAAACCTCTTAATGGTCTTTCAGGTTTTGCAAGTCTAATTTACTCACTCCCATGTCATCCAAGATGTTCAAGTATTTCTTTCTTCAGTCAAAAAAGAAATTAAGGTTTTTGAGGAGAACATTCCAGGATTTTTCTCCATATAGTGGACTTCAGTGGGAGTCAACAGGTCGAAGGTCCAAATTGCGGAGTCAGTGCAGCTTCACACGATCCCAGCTGAGGAATAAGGGTCTAGTGAAGTGATCTGTCATTTTCTAAAAAATAAACATTTATAAACTTTTTAACCACAAATGCTTGTCTCGCACTAGCCCTGCGAAAAACTCCATCTCATTTTCTCCTCCAACTTCAAAATTGCCTGACATCATTGTTTTACCATTTTTCATAAGGGCGTTTGACTTTCTTTGCATGTTCGCTTTGTAAACACCGGGTTGAAACTTCCTTCTACATCATGTGTGGCCATTCCAGTGTGACTACGTAATGTGTGATGTCGAGCTAGTGCAAGACGAGCATTTGTGGTTAAAAAAGATTGATTGTTTCGCTAGATAAGACCATTTTTCCTCGGCTGGGATCGTGTAGAGTCCTTTGAAGCTGCACTTGAAACTGCAGTTTGGACCTTCAACCCGTTGGCCATCATTGAAGTCCACTATATGGAGAAAAATCCTGGAATGTTCTTGTAGTGAACTAATCCTTTAAGATGATCTGTCTTTTGCTATGTAATTTTATTTTAGTATTCTTTATTGTTTGTTTCAGCTTCATTTCAATTAATAAAATTTGATTTTTATTAGCGTACACTTTAGTTGACAATGACAACTTTGGTCTCTCTTGTGTTTAACTCATTGTTATACTGCCATATATTGCTTGATATGGTTCCTGTGCACTAGGGGTAGAATAGCAGATCTTATTGTTTAGGATTGAGATCATCATTTCAGCCTATGGGGGAAACAGCAGTTAAAATGAGCTTTTGCTATATAGAGAGGCAACCGATCTATATGGAAAACAAAAGCAGGAACAGATGATTTTGTATAGATTATATATTTGTCAGAAGACAAATAAGTTCAAAAACATCTTCACATTATAACTAAAGGCAAAAATCAATAGCCTCTGTCTGTTCAATATTTAACCATTTTTGGTATTATGTTCCGAGCCTCTCTGTAGACACTGATCCTCTCCTCTGGGGGTCATTCTAGCAGCTCAGCTTTTGATTAAGATATCCAGTCACTAAAGGGCTTTATATCTCCATGGTTACCATGCATCTTGCCACAATAAATGGAGTCTGTTTTTTCCCCTTGCGCCCACTCAAGTGATTCTGTTCTTTGCCTGAAAAGGAAATGTCTTTTTTTTTTTTATTCAGTGTGATCTTTGCCTGGCTCAGCAATTATAAATGGACATTTGATCCATGAATAATAATAAATGTTTTAAATCTCTAGCATAAACTGTTACGCCTTGTCAAAACTACAACCCATGAGAATGAGATCAGATCATGAAATGCTCATCCTCACGTTAAACATTGTGTTATAGTGCCATGATGGTGCCTACAGTGATCCTTCCTTTTCAGGATTCACATGTTGTTGCACTCTTAACACTGTGGCATTAAACTAGTTTATTCTTGCCTTGTTTGGCTGTGACTGTCCTTGTTTGATCTACCTAGACTTCCGTGGCTGTTGTGGATAAGCCTCAGCACACAGGTCTGATTGTCTAAATCAGCTTGCTAGCAGCAGAAGCAGGTCAGTGTAGTTCAGTTTCATGACCTCAAGTGCTCTCTTTAATCCTTTATCTTGTGATTGCATGATCAGGTACTTCGAACACAGTGTTGTGTGCTGGTTGTGTCATAAATTTGCAATTATGATACATTTGGTGTATCATGGTACATTATGATATTGTTGATTAGATCAGTGGTCTTTAAGAAGCAGGATTTGGATGCTACAAGAATTCACTTCAGAAACTCTGTGGTATTGCATTTAATTCCTCCCTCTCTTCTCTTATTTGAGCTGTGTCCTGTGTTGTGTGTGAGCTCAGTGCTGAAGCTCCGGAGGGACGGGGCTGTGTTTCCACCCTCTGTTTCCTCTTTAGCAGCCAGACCTCTAATATTCAGCTGCTGCTGCTGGTTGTGCTGCAACCCGCTGGGCCAAGTCCAGCTTCTGCTTGCTTCTCTGTGTTTGACTCTACCTCCCTGCCTTCATCCGTTCTTCTCAGTCTCTCCCTCTGTTCCCTTTCCTTTCAAGACCTGCTGGATCTCTGATATCTGCAAAATTAAAAAAAAATAAATATGAAGCATGGACATTATTGGGTCCCACTTTATATTAGGTGCCCTTAACTACTTGCATCAAAAAATAAGTACAATGTACTATATTGTGTTCAAATTTCTATTGTATTGTATTGGGATTCGGGTAGGGTTAGGGACAGGTTTGGTGGTATGGGTAGGTTTAAGGCATAAGAGATGGATCAACAGTGTAATTATAAATGTAATTACAGAAATGAACTACAGATGTAATTACATACAGGTGTTCTTTTAAATATAAGTACAATGTAAACAGGTATGTACAAAATAAGTGCACTGAATCAAATTATCAATTTAAGGGCCAGATTTACTAACAGCTTGCGCCAGCGCAAACGTCCTTTTGCTGTTAAAATAGTACTGTCATGATTTACTAAAGACACGCAGTGACGAATTAGCACTGAAAAGGCATGGACACAGTTATTTTTGGGCCTGGCCTTATTGAATATGCATTTGTAGGGGTTTCCCTTTCAGACACGATGGGAGGAGAGTATTCAAATGAATCACGCAACGTGATTTACTAATGTTTGCGCTCGTCAAATTACTGGTATTTGCGCCATTATTCAACGCCTCAAAAAAGCATGTCTTAAAGCAGGCTGTAATTTGCTCTGCTCTTGGTAGATTGCGCTGGTCATTATGGAAATGATCTGGCTGCGTCTCTGCTCTGTAACGCTAATTTGCCGTTTAGAAAAACTGACCCTAAATGTAAGTACAAGGCCACCTAATATAAAATGGGACCCATTATTGCTATAGTTAATTTTGTATCTATTACTGATTGAGTTTATGCTGACTTCAACTAATATTGTTCTTGATGCTCAAGAAACATTTCTTATTATTGTCATTATTGAAAAGAGTTTGGTGGAAACTGGTTTGACTTAATATTTTGGTGGAAACTGTGATACATTTATTGGGATTGCTTGATGAAAGCATTTAGTTACAGTTTTTTGCAATCAATTAATTAATCAGAAATGTATTTTTTCCATGTATCATAAAGCAAGCCAAATCCAGTATTGGTCATCCTCTTTCTCTTCATTTTAAAGAGGAACATTGTGAACATTTCCTAAAACAATTTCCCTTTTCTTACTTTCTCTGCACTCTTTTACTTTTTCTCAACCTCCTTATCTCTCTTTAGCTCGTTCTCCTTTGCCAAGGCTCTCACTGGCTATTGCCCTGCGACGGGTCAATCAATGTGATCAGGTTAACCAGTGCCTCAGCGGGTCTAAAGCATGTATCAGGGAGAGGTGGCAGTACAGCCATCATGGCATCATGTGTTTCCATGCGCTGCCACCTCTCAGAAGGTCATCGCAGACATGTGGTTGTGCACAACGCCACTCCATCCTCATCCTGTCTTTTTAGCCTCAGCTCAGCCTGTATCCATGGAAACTGTATCCAGTGACATCTGTTGCCTAGTAAGCTGCTCGGAGGCAGAGTTTTGTTTCCTGTCTCTCTTCGACAGAGGGAAAGCACCCTTTATTTATTTCTTTGCTCATTGGGACAAATGTGCACATTTGTAATCCCTGATTAAGTAGTGCACCCATGTCCTGTTTGTATTTGAGATTTTTGAAGGTTTTAAAGGTCTTAAAAGGCTTAAAGTGCCCCTATTATGCCATTTTTAAAGTTCCTAAAATTGTTTTGGGAGTCTCCTACAATAGGATTACATGCATGCAAGGTCAAAAAACGCTTTCGTTTTCTCAAAATATGCATTTAATATCACCTCATTTTCCAGCGATTCTCAAACGATTCGTTCGAAGCAGTTCAAAGATTCAGCCTGCTCTGCTTTGATTGGTCAGATGGCCTAGTCTGTTGTGATTGGTCTACGGCGTACAGTGGTGTCGAAAACGATACGCCTATTTCAGTACTTCTGTATTTTGAACGCTCTATAGAAAATATAAACATCTATTATCATACTTACAGGTTGTGATTCAGTGGAGCAGCTGGTCCAAATAAACAGGATACTGATCCATCTTTCAAGAGCAAGCGTTTTGTGAATCCCGCGTTGAACTCCCCGAGATTAAAGAAGCAGTCGTCAGTAGAATGATGTGTTTGTGGGCGGGGTCAAGTTGTTCCCGGCCAGCCAACGTAGAACATAGGCGCGCATTATGCAAATGTGTTGAAGTGGGATTCGAATTACTAATGACTCGTCTAGGTTGTACAGAGTCGATTCTTTATTTTGGGAGACAATAAATTTATTTATCGTGCACTTTCAGCTTTACAACTTTGCAGATCGTTTACATTCACATACACATACACATACAGGCAATATTGGAAATGGCATAATAGGGGCACTTTAAAGGAATGTTTTACCCAAAAAGGAAAAATTGCTGTAAAGTTACTCATCCTCCGGCCATCCAAAATAAAGATTTGGACTCTCATTCTGATGGCACCCATTCACTGTGAGCAGGTGATGTAATGCTAAATGTCTCCAAATCTACTGTACATCTTGGATGGCCTGAGGGTGTGTAAATTTTAAAGTAAGTAAAGTTTTATTTTTGGATGAACTAGAGCAGAGCTAAGCGATGAAGGGTTTTCAGTGACAGATTCAAGTTATTTCATAAAAATCTTCCAATATTTCAAGGATATAATCTCTTGTGTCAGTCAAAGAATCATACATTCCTGTTATCGTTACATACAAAAATATTTTATAATTTTTAATTAAGATAATTTATTTTAAAAAGACCTGCACATTCATTTATAATAAGTGATTTGCCTGGCATCTGTGTAATTAAAGCTTGAAGTGCCACCAAATAATATATTACAATTATTTGTCTATTAAATTTTGCTACAATATTATATCTTGGATTCTTGGATTCTCTGGTTAAGGTGCAAGAGATTGCAGGCAGTATTCAGTATTGTACTGACTGTCCTTCAGGCATTAGGGAGGAAAAAGACAGGTAGCTGTAAAAACGCAATCCATCTCTCTTATATCTGGACTGCCGCCACAACAGATGTACAGCTGGAAAATGTTACATTCCATATGGGTGTTATACTGCAAATGGGTTCAAATTTCTTCTGCTAGAAAGGGAGCCATTTGTTTGGCAGGGCGCTAGTTTAATTTATGTTTTCTGCAGTTGTCATTTGATAGTGATGACTCTGGAGTGAGGCTTTTTTATGGATAGGATTTGAACTCGGCAATCTAGTTATAAAAAAAATACAGTTTGAACAGCTGGTAGGAAAGAAATTTCAGGGCAAAGGATGAAGAACCCAGATGGCTCCTGGTGCCTTCTCGGGCTGTGAACACATCTGACGTTCTTTTCATTTTTCTTCTGTAATGTTAACCATGTAACTTTATAATTTTATCTGTCCTCCATTCATTTTTTTAAATTGGTCATTTTAGCAGGTCTGAGATCAGAATGTGGGTTTAATTGGATTGGGTGGCTGTATATTGTTTATCATACACTTTCCAACAAAAATCAGTGAATTACCACAATAAAATAATAACATTGGGTATTATTTTATAATATAATCATAAGGCAATGTCTGTGTCTATATGATTTCGCCTCATTGTCAAGCTTTTATCAGGCTCATTCTAGTGAATCCATTTTTAGTCCATTTCTAGTGAATCCAACAATTTTAAGTGAATTATAATAATACACTTCTGAATTGTGTATTATTATAATAATATAATATCTATTTTTACATATTTCAAAGATATTGGTACAGTTTCTTAACTTCTTATTGCCAGTAGCTGGTATCTTGTATCTAACTACTTTTACAAGAGCAGTTTGGCTAAAGTTGAACTACTTCAATTATGATTAGCTTGTAGCTTGGCAAATTACAGTTTCAAAGTAGCTTCCTCAACAAAATCTTTTAATGTGTCAGCTAGCTTATGATGTATAATTAGTTCAAATTACATGTGCTTACTCATGCTTTTGCTGTTTGCCGTAGGAATGTGAGCTCAGACGGTGCAGAGGCACGCAGACGGTTGAGAGAGTGTGGGGGGCTGGTAGATGCCTTGCTGCATGCACTGCAGTCGGCTGTGGGAAAGAAGGACATGGACAACAAAGTGAGTGTCTTCAGCCGAGAGAGCAGCTGGAGCCTGTTTCTATCGTTGTTTTCTGGGTTTCATTTGTATTTGGTATGTCGCATGCAAAAAAATCCACATGCAAACCCAGGCAAGTGATCAGGACCAGAATGTAAAGCAGAGGGGTCTTGTGTCATCGTAAATGTTTTTTTTTTTTTTTTTGCAATAATGACTGCCTGGCTGTACATTATCCCACATATTACCCAGCTACTTCTGATATAAATATTTAAATTGACAAAAAATATTGATTTGCTTGTAAATAGTGCAGCTATGTAAGTAATCACTTGCCTGGCACAACATCCAACTATACAGTTTAGTGGTCGTTATACAAAAATATTTGACCATACAATGCCATTGTTATTATTATTATTATTATTGAAATAATATTCTTTAGCAGACAAATGGTCACTTTTTCCAAAATGCCTGTATAAAATGTTTCATTCTTTCTATTTTTCTCTCTCTTGCTGTCTCTTAGTCTGTGGAGAATTGTGTTTGCATCATGAGGAACCTGTCTTACCACGTGCACAAGGAGGTTCCAGGGGCTGAGAAGTTCCAGGATCCCTCAGCTCTTCAGGGCCCCGGCTCTGCTGGCACTCAGAGGAAGAAGAAAGATGATGCAGGCTGCTTCGGAGGAAAGAAGGCCAAAGGTCATTATTGAATTCTTCTTCATCTCATCTATGTGCTTTATACTTCTAAAACGGTGCTGAGCACCTTTATATCACTGAGCCTTGATCATCAACAGCCAGCTGCTTCCATCACTGGCAGGTTCACAGAGAGCAGTATGATCCTAGCATTTACACAACGTCATAAATAGCAGTGCAGGCAATACTGTAATAGGAAGCTAAATGATACTTGAGTCTCTATTTATGTGGCCTGCGGCTCATGATTCATAACTGGAGTGTGTGTCTGGAGTATCAATGTTGAATCAATATTCATTTTTAAATGGATGTGGGTGTAGGTTCACTGTCTGTGTTGTTATATCTATGAGTTGAATCCATTCTTCGAAACACTTTGCTTATAAACTGCTGAGTGTTGTTCAGGTACTCATTCTTTACATAATGCCAAGAGAGCTGATTCAAGGTTTATATCATTTTCTTGTACTAGTTGTCCAGGTTTTTTGTTCTCTCTTATATGAGCTGATATGAGTCAGTTAGTGAATTGATTCTCGAACAGACCTATACAGGAACTCAATAAACCATGCGAAGGAGCAAAAGCAAGAATGTGGGTAAACAGCAAATATGACAGCATTGATGTCATGCTGTGCCTCATGGACTTTTTTTAATGAGGTTTGTTTATCTGTCAGCAGCCCTGGAGATGTACTTTGAAGATGCAAGTGACATATATTTAAACCAGAAAATGCCCCTAATAAGCATTAAGGGATGCTTTCCCAACGAGCTATTTGGACATTTCCCCAGCTAAACCTTACCTGATTTAAAAGGCATAATTTAGTTTTGCACATGAAACTCTTGACACTTTCACTATAAACACATAAACGTTTAGGTTGCCGTGTTGGTTTACCACAAACTAAAGCAGAAAATGTGTCATTTCGAATGTGTCCGCTATTATTTTAGACATAATTGGAAATTGGTTTATGCTGTATTTATTCTTAATTATTAGAATATTTTAATTAATGTCATTTAAATTACACTACCATTCAAAAGTGTGGGGTCAGAAAGATATTCTTTAAAAATATATATATATTCCTATTTAGTAAGGACACATTAATTCGATCAAAATCAGTAAATCACAGTTTCCACAAAAATATTAAGCGACACAACTGTTTCCAACATTGAAAACCATAAGAAATGTTTCTTGAGCAGCAAAACAGAATATTAAAAAGAATTCTGAAGGATCATGTGACACTGCTGAGTGGAGTAATGGCTGCTGCAAATTCAGCTTTGAATCACGAGAATAAATTACATTTTCAAATATATTAAAATAGAAAACAATTGTTTTCATTCATTCTAAATCAATTTTACTTTGCTGAGCATAAGATAGCTTTTTCACAAACATTTCTTACCCCAAAACTTTGAATGCTAGTGTACATATCATAGTGTATTACTGAAGCAAAAACATAGTCATATTAAACTTTTCCACTTAGCAGTAGCGATGCTCAGCACTCAAAGAGGCGATAGACTTTCAAATATCGGTGCTATTAAACCAAATGTGTTGTTTTCAGGTGGCTAGCCGAATAGCATGCCTTTGATAGTTTAGATTACTAAGTAAATTGCTCAGCCCGATTCTCTTCTACCATCACAGTAGATGGCCTTAAAACTGACCGTAGAAGACTGACAATGCTAATGCCAGTATAGCAGGCCTGCAGCCACACTGAGAATACAGTAATACATTACGAATTGTACTGACAGCATTGCGGAATGCAATGATGCATGAAATCTGTGAATATACTAAGATTCTTGTAACCATTTAGTGAATTTGTTGAAAAAGCTGCGCAAACACTTTTGTCTCCTTTCTGGAATCTTTAAACTCTCTCCTTTAATTTTTAAGTGGTTCACAAATAAGTCCTGTCTTCTTTAATGCACACACTCTCTGAATCTCCTTTCTTCTTCCCTGCTTGCTTTTTTTTCTCATTGGTCTTGCTGCTGTTCCTGCATTGGCTAACTGTAGAGGAATGGTTTAATCAAGGTGAGTGTCTCTTCCTGCTTTTCCTCTGTCTGTCAGTTTCTCTCAGCATACACTCACAAAATGCCTCCCTCTATCTTCATCAGAAGAAAGGTTTCATCGCTGCCCCTCTTTCACTCTTTTGCCTTCCATTCTTAAATGACTGGCCAGTGTTCCTCTCCTCAAGGAAATGTCAAACCTGTGCCAATTTAGCTGGTTCAAAGCCCCTTTCTGCTGGCATAGATGTCTGTGTGTGTGCTGTTATCTGTTAATGAGGCCTGGCTTTTGCGGTCTGTCTTTTTTGCCCATTGCTGTAAAGGGGTAGTTCTCCGAAAACTGTCATCATTTGCTCACTCTCATGTTGATCCAAACCTGTATGATTTTTTTTTTCTTTTAGAAAATACAAAAAGGAGATGTCAGGCAGAATGTTCACATGGTCCTTTTTCATAACGAAAGTGATTGTTGACCCAGGGCTAAAAATGACAAAACATAACATAGTACAATCCATACAAGTGTTCAAAGTCTTCTGAAAACATGCAATAGCTTTGTTTGCAAAAATTCCTATTCTTATTTGGATTTTTGTCTTGTTTATTAGTTATAATCTTTAAATAAGATAAATTTACATGACAAGCAACACTGCATAAGATATTAAGATTTGTTGTCATTAATTCACTGGCAAATTTTGAAAAGAGTGTTCTCAAACAGTGTTCCCTCTCAAGTAAACTCATCCTGTTTTAAGGATTGTTACAGAAAAACAAGTAAAAAAGACTAAATTCTAATTTAATTAATTAATTTAGATATTTAATTTTCTTTAAAAATCTTCCTCTCCACTGCAGAGATGTGCATATTCACATTTGGTGCATCATGATTGGGTTACACTATGACACTATGACATTTGCCTTTTTTAGCAATTCACCAAATTTGAATATGCGCATATGTAATTTGCACAAATAAGTTAAGAAAAAATGGCTTTGGTGTTTGTCTTAAGTGATATTTTGGCTTCAGAACACTTGAAATACAGCGTGTGAGTCATCTGGACTATTTCTAAGATGCTTTTTGTTGTTTTTGGAGCATGTCAAATATGTTTGGAACAATATGAAGGTGAGTTAATAATGGCAGAATGTTCATTTGTAGATGAACTATCCCTATGACATGTTCTCTATGTGTGATAGTGGTCTTCATTACTTCACTCTGTTATAGACAGTTGTCCTCCATGACAAAGGCTCTGCATTTTTAATGAGGGTTCCCGCTCTTGGGAGCTGGTGTCAAGAGTTTGTCTCTGCATATCTGTGTAGTAGCTAGATTTATGTGTGGCACGTCTGCGACTGTGTGTGTGTGTGTCTGAGACTTGGGCCTACTTGACATTTTCATACCAGTAAATTCCGCCGTCTCTCATAGAATGACACTTACAACTGCTCTTTCTGTCTCGTTCCCTCACGCTCTCTCTCTCATTCTGTCTTCCCCTTCTTCACTCAGGGAGGAAAAACGGAGAGCATGACAAAAACTATGACACATTGGACCTACCCAAGCGCACAGAACCCACTAAAGGTATGTCTTCTTTTGACACCACAGAATTATTACATCTTTAAGCTGTCACTCTTTTGAAAAAGGGACAGGAAAAGTCCCAACACTTTGGTATCTCTCAAAAAGAGTGTGTGTGTGTTCACTACTGTGTGTGTGCACTTGGATGGGTTAAATGCAGAGCACAGATTCCAAGTTTGGGTCACCATACTTGGCCACATGTCACTTCTTTCTTCTTCTCTTCTTTTTTTAAAAGAAAAAATCTAGTTATGAAAGGCAGGTGCATTGCTTTAAAGAAGTGAATTCTATTAAGATACAGTCTAAAAATAGCACATACTGTATGGCCAACACACTGTTAGACTACTGAGGGTTGTAGTGCACAGATTTATGGGAAGTGAAGCTTTTTTCCAAAACCTAGTGAGCTGCCTACTGAGGCAGTGTGCTAAGGCAATACTGACAAATTTACTGTAAAGGCGATCCCAGAGTGCATTGTGACAAGCTCATTGATAAAATAAAGGTGGTGCACGAGATGGAAGAAATGCACTACCATTTAAAATTGACAGTAAAGTCATTTATAATGTTACAAAAGTCATATAAATGCTTGTTCTTTTCAACTTTCTACTCGTTAAAAAATCCTTAAAAAAAAAACTGCATCACAGTTTTTACTAAAGTATTAAGCAGTGCAACTGTTTTCAACATTTAGAAGAAATGTTCCTTGACCTTGAGCATCAAATCAACGTATTAGAATGATTAGTGTGAGAGATGCTCAGACCTTTAGCTTGTAATTGTCTGCAAATTAATCATAAGGGATAATTTAGACAAGACATGTTGCAATGCAGTGAAACAGAACGGGGGTCTTGAGACTAGACATGCTGAAAAGCATCAGTCCATGTGGCAATGGTCGAAGATGTCGATCTCTATTTACACCCACTGAACAGTCATCAGGGAGCCACTCAATACCTCTTTCCTTCTGACTGACTGAACTAAGATCATTTTACCTCAGAGCTCCACTTAGTGAGAGAGGAAGATTGAGAGGCTTATTTTTTATGTATTACTATAGATGAGCCACAAAGAGAGATGAAAAATATATCATTTTTAGATGACCTGTTTTTTTTCTATGAGTCTGTGAGGCTTGTGAGGACATCCTATTAAAGAAGAGAAATACTGTTTACTGATCCCCCACTCATGAGATGACCATCATTTGTGTGTTCTCGGGTTATAAAAGAGAAAAATGAAGGTGAATAAATAAATAGGAGTAATGTGAAATCAAATGTAGTAATAAAGCTGTAGTAGAGTGGTCCACATGTGTTTGCTGGTGGAATGTTTTGCTTGGCAGAGGAAAAACAGTGGCTCATGCACAAACCCACAAGGAATATGCAGAGTTTGCTGCATTTTGATTTGGGGAGAAATCTATGGAATTCAGTGAGCACAAGAGATTAGCTTAGTTATCAAACTAATGAATATATTTAGTCGTATATAAGATTTGAAACCGAGAAATAGAAAATAAAACAAAAAATTGATACTACAGTTCAAAAGTATTTTTTTTAAAGAAAGAAATTTGTATTTTTATTTAGTAAGAATTCATTAAATTGAATTAAATCAAAAGTGACACTAGCTATGTTTTCCATCCACCTATTTTAATGCGCATTTTGGAATATTGCATTAAAAAAGACTGGATGGAAACGCCAAGATGCGCATAAATTCTAAAAATGCACATAAAAAACGTGTGCGCACAATTGAGTAGGGTAAACTTTTTATCCGATAAGAAAAAATGTGTATAAACTACGATGGAAACACATTTACCGAATAAATTCCACCATGTGCATCGAAAAAGTCATGTGACTTTGCGCTATGAGATGGGATAACTTGACTAGCAGCGGACCGATCTCGTTCACAGCATCTATATGTTGTTTTTGTCATTCTGAAATGCCTGAGGATAGTCTGTCATCAAAGTATTTCTGTATAATTACCGTCTTACATGACTGCGTTCCCAAACAGCAGGCATCCACCTCCGAAAGCAATGACCGCATTCATTGTGTTACATCTGCTCGCTCTGAGGCGCAAGTAATTTATTATATATGAAAATGATTACATTTAGTGGCTTCTCCTAGTTTTCTTAGAGATATTTAGTGCCAGTTTATCAGGCAGTGACGATTTTTGTTCTCTTTGTCTCGTTGGATGGAAACGGTGCTTTATTCTCAAATGTTTTATGCGATATTCCAGTTTTGCGCATAAGTTAAATTCGCATCTTTGGATGGAAACATAGCTACTAAAGCCCTTCTAATAAATGCAGCTCTTTTTAACTTTCTGTTCATCGGAGAATCCAGAAAAAAAAATGGATCACAGTTTTCACAAAAAAAATTATAAAATAGAAAACCATTATTTTCAATTGTAATAGTATTTCGCAATGTTGTTGTAATAATATTTCACAATATTACTGTTATTTCACGATATTATAAATATCAAATACATGCAGCATTGGTAAGCATAAGAGACGTCTTTCAAAAATATTAAAACATCTTACCAACCTCAAAACTTTGAACAGTAGTATACGTTTCTGCAGTATTTAGGTTTAAAACTCTTTAGTACATCTTGACTCAATGGGTGTTGCAATCCTGCAGAAATCTGCAGAGTTCTCTGTGGACACAGAGTGTGTGTGAGAATGTTGATGCATCCGTGTGAGTATGTGCTGACTATTGCAGAACTCAGCAAAGCCATGTTTGTTTTTGAGTGTGTATCTACTGGTGTGTATTTTCACTTTGCTCACACAGCTTTGAGACCAGTTGACCTTCCAAATACAAACAGTCACATATTACTTAAAAGTTTCAAAAGGCCTTGTTCTCGCAGAATGTTCTAGAGTAAATAATGGATGCTAGTCAGGAGCTTCCTAGGAACAGTTTCATAAAGTTGCAATGGCAGCTGTTCAAAATCAATAGCATTTCATGTCTCTTTAATTAGCCTCTTTCTCATTAACATGCAAAATGGGGATGAATAATACTATTTTGTGGTTTATCAATGTAAGCTGATTTTTCCTTTTTGATATCTCAGGTCAAGCAAGCAGATGAGTTAAAAAAAAAACTAAAAAACGTTTTGTGCCACGTTACATTTACAGGATGGTTCGAGGCAACACATTTAAAAAAGACTCCTGATCCACTTAACATATTAGTTTTTGAGGCGTTAATTATCACAAATTAATTATTTTTTGTTAAAATGTTAAGACACATTAAAAGCCTTCTTTTAAACAGGAAGATCAATGACGTTTGTAATGCCAGTTGGCTCTGACTGTATTTCTAACCCATTATATTCTATAAAAAATGGTTCTGATGGAGACATAAGGGTATATATTTATAGGCCTCTGAGAGCACTGGGCTTTTTTTGGACATAAGACATAAACCTGCACTTATTGGAACAGGAAAAATAACCTCTCCTGACTCTTTGCCTAGAGTGTTATGAATACAAAATGATTCACATTTGTCCAAGAGATCAGATGAATAGTAAGTCTGCTCTGATTTCAGATGGGATTGGCACCTGGGGATTAATATGCAATAAAAAGAACAGGGTAACTGAGGTTAGTGTGGATTGGGACTGCTCCTATCCTGATTCCTCTCTGAGTGATATATATCCATACATCATAAACGTGTGCTTGAGAGACCGCTGTGACAGCTTAGAGTATTGAGGGATTTTTGTCGCTTAGCTGAACCTGAGACACACAGCCATTGTTTATTCACCAAGTATCTTTGTTGCATTTTATGCCTCAAACATTTGGTTTCAGAGAGGTCCTGTTTTAAAACTACAAGCCATGAAAGATATGAAGGCTTCCTTGCTGCATTATTCACAGCCGTGGAGAAAGAGACAGGAGAGAATTAATTAAGGATTCTGAGGGAGATGAGATTGACAATGAGGGGACAATGGGTCTGTAGGCCTCAGTGCCGGCAGCTGTTGTCTATATCCTAATTGTTATGGAACCTCATAAATGACTCATTTAAAACATAAAAAAAGAAGTAATAAATACTTAATAATAATTATGATTTTTAAATATTGTCAACAAGATGACACCAGTAAAAAGAGTAATATTTTGAAATATTATTAAAATGTAAAGTAACTAATATATTGTAAAATGTAATTTATTTCTGTGATGGCAAATCTGAATTTGTAGCTGTCAATACTCTAGTCTTAATTTTACATGGTCCTTCAGAAATAATTTTAATATTCCGATTTGGTGTAGATGAAACATTTTGTATTATTACCAATGTTGAAAACAGTTGTGCTGCTTAATATTTTTGTGGAAACTGCGATACACTACCATTCAAAAGTTTGAGTAAAGCCCCATTCACACCAAGAACGATAACTATAAAGAAAACGATATTAGCATCCACACCAGTGAACGATATCGTCTGTAAACGCACGCTCCTCTGCTGCTTTAAATTCTCGAGCTCGTTATAGCAGGATGGATTCTGATTGGCTGTCAATGTTTTTTTAGCGTTCATCAGCTGGAAAAAAATCGTTCTGAAAGTGATTCTAACGATATTGTTTCTCTGTGCCTTTATCGTTATAGTTGTGGTGTGGACTCTGCTATTCTTTAATATTGAAAACGATTTTTAGAATTATATCTTTATCGTTATCTTTATAGTTATCGTCCTTGGTGTGAACGGGGCTTTAGTAACTAACGAACATTTAAATGAAAATAAAATAAATAGAACTTCTGTGTGAGCAGTGCTTCATACATCGCTACACTGTGGACCTTAATGTGACCTCTAGATTCATGAGGGTGTCTGTGATCCCTTAAAAGCAGCTCACTGTTTCGGAGCAGAGCTAATGAGTGCATGTTCTTTGGTGTTAACTGAAATGGCATTTGCTGTGCTAGAGGTCACAGAATGGTGGAGTTCATGTAGAGAAGCTATTAGTGTGCCTATTGTGTTTCTTAGCCCTCTTTCCAAACAATGCAGTTAAGCCATTGTTGTGTTTCATAAAAAAATGAGTCTGGAGAGAGATGAAGACACTATGAATTAATTACATGTCATTTTCCC